ACCCAAGTATATCTTGAGTAGTCATCAATCAAAGTAATGAAATATTTATATCCAGTCTCAGTAGTTAGAGAAATAAGGCCCCAAACATCAGAATAGACAATATGAAAAGGAAATTCAGATCTTCTATTTCTTAAAGGAAAGGAATTTCTACAATGTTTGCTCAATTGGCATGTATGACACTACAATTTACTAACTAACAAAGACTTAAACAACTCAGGAAATATAAGTTTTAAAGACTCAAACGAAAGGTGAGCAAGACGCTTATGTCACAAGTAGGCATGACTCTCACTAGAAGAACTTAAAGACTCTGTAGCCACAAGACCAGCTTTATTCTCCAACACGTAGAGACCATCCACGCTTCCTCTACCAATCGTCTCCCTCGAGGTCAAATCCTGAAACACACACGAAGAAGGAAAGAAGGTCACTGGAGAATTCAAGGAATGAGTAATACTGCTAATGGAAAGTAAATTGATAGGTAATTTAGGAACATGCAACACATTAGAGAGGGTAAGAATAAGAGGAAGGGAGATGGTTCCTTGACCGGCTATGGTGGAATAAGACCCATCAGCCAGTTTTACCTTACCCAGAGAGGAGGTTATATACCTGAAATAAATTTGACTTACCAGTCATGTGGTTTGAGGCTCCAGAGTCAATTATCCAAGGGGAATCAGATGTATGAGATGACACATGGAAGGTAGTGGCAGTGTTACCTGATGTAGACGCAAAGGAGGTAGGAGTAGGGCCAGAATCCATCCAGCGAAGTGTCCTACCATATAATTCCAAGTGGTCACGAAAGGAGTTGATGATCTCTTCCTTGAGGTCAGAACCAGAGTGTCGCTCTTGGGGTACCATGGGACTAGTCTCTTGAGATGCCACATTTGCTGAGTTATATTTCTTCTGACTCTGCTGGGTTAGCTTCTTACTCGGATCAGACTTCTTACTCAATTATTGAGCCCATTTCGGCTTGCCATGAAGATCCCAACATGTGTCTCTAGTGTGCCTGGACTTTTGATAGTGAGTGCACCAAAGTTTGTACTCTCTTCTGTGAATCTCCCTTTTTAAAAGAACCTCCAACATTTGAACTTGTACCCCCTCGAACAGCTAGTGCAATCGGTTCCCCTTCTGTACAATTCATCACACTTTTTCTGCTCTCTTCAGACTGGACTAGGGCATAAACTTCTTGGACTGAAGGTAGGTTCTTACGTCCTAAGGTTTGTACCCTCATGGATTCATATGTAGGATTCAGCCCCAAAAGAAAGGCAAATACCCATTGCTGGGAAACAAGTGATTTGTAGGCCTTTGCATCTCATCGCACTTCCAATTCACATTTTGATAATGATCCAGTTCCTTCCAAATTGATGWCAAGTTTGAATAGTACACCGAGAGACTCCTCTCCCCTTGCTTGCAAGTGGAGGATTCTGCTTGTAATTGATATATCTTTGCATAGTGTCTCTGTTCTGAATRGGTAGATTTTGCTTGTTCCCATATTTCACAAGCTGTTTCAACCCACATAAAGGTCTTCCTTACTTGTGGCAGCATGGGAACCAAGAGCCATGACATCACCATGCTATTTTCTTGGTCCCATCTATCATGTTCAGCACTACCAATCTTTGGTTCTTTGATTTTACCATTAATATACCCAATTTTTCCTCTAGCAGTAATATAAAGTTTAATTCCCCTGGACCATTCAAGATAGTTCAGTCCATCAAAGGGGATTGCAGCCATGGGGAAACTCATATCCATCCCCCCACTCATTCCATTTTGACCTCCTGAAATTCCTGAAGTTGCAAAATTCTCAGAGGACATGATTCAAACACCTTTAAGACCTTACACACACCTTATGATCCCTCCTATCACCAAAGAAACAATCCTAGAAACACCAAGGATGAAGCTCACATGCACACACTGCAATTTGGACACAATCTGACCACAAACCAGCCTAGATTGTCCAAAAAAGGCAAGATTTTAGGGTGATCTCAGAGCTGATCTGACCTAGCAGTCACACTCCAACTTCCAGACACCCCAAACACATCGACTGCTAGGAGGGGTCATAAACCAGTATGGTTACACCACAAGGGTTAAAAGATCAAGTCATCCACGACCTACAGATCTGAATTCTCAGACATGGGATCACACCATCCATAAAAAAAAAGAGGTTCGAACCTCACAGCTTCTCAGAAAACATTCAGCAGTCTGGAGTCATATAGTTTCTTCTTGGTACACGACCAAGGAAAAGGAAAAAAACACTAAAAAAATCTGTACCAGTCGTAGGTCTGCACTTTTTTTATCTCAGTTGAAGAAGACAGCAGGTTGAAGCTTGTTTGATCTGCTCACAGGCCTAGCAGAACCGCTCTGATACCATATTAACAGCCAAATAGAGGAGAAGAGAGGTAGGAGAAGAGAAGAGGAAGAGAGGAGAGAAGACAGAAGAGAGGAGAGAGATTTGGAGTCTGCTACAGTGCTGGTGGCGCCAGCTTATATTAATATATATAGGGCGACCATAAATAGAAGGGAAAGGACCCTTATGCCCCTACTTAAGTTACAGCATAAAAAACAAAAGAAAAAACTGCTTTAATTTGTCCAAACGGACCCTAACTCATCAGAATACAAACATAATAAATAAAGCTAACCTTCCAACAAGTCCCAACATAGCCAAATAGCCATGCTAGTAAAAGAAATTGGATTCTTGTAATTAATCTGTCATCATCATTATTTGGTATAGAATTAGCTTGATTGGAACAGTACTAGACCAACGAACATGGCTAGTGTAGGATGATGGAGCAGAGAGGAGGAGAAGGCGTTCGAGACTGCAATTGCGATGCATTGGGCTGCTGATGACTCAAAAGACTGATGGGAGAAGATTGCTTCCATGGTTCCAAGTAAGGCTGTAGCTGAACTGAAGAAACACTATGAGGTTTTGGTCGAGGATGTAGATGCAACTGAGTCGGGCCAAATCCCAATTCCCACTTACGTCAAGGAGGAGGCTGCCAGCAGCAAAGATCAGCACCTCTTTCCTGCTTCTGCTTCTGGGGCTGCTGATAAGAGGTTGAACTGTAATTTTGGAACTGGGTTTTCTGGGTTGGGCATTGATTCAGGCGGGGTTGGCATCGGACCCAACTCAAGCTGCTTCCTGTGTTGATGTTCACCCAGAAATCTTGTTTTGGTGTACCCAGACCGATTTTGACAATGTAGTTGGATGTTCTGAGAAGGTGGCCTGACTTGATTGGAACTTTGGTCTTGGAGTCTCCCGTACCCAGAGGGGATGGTTTGTTGATAGTCGATTGGATAGAGCAAACTCGGAGTTCTTCTTGGAGAAGGATTTCATGGAGACTAAGAAAGGGAGAGAGAGGGGGGACTTCAACAGAAGTCTGCCGCCACTGCTGTTCATGTATCGTGAGGTCGGGGAAGATGTGTTGTGTTTTTCTTCCAATTGTTTGAATAGTAATTACAAGGGTAGTATGGGGATTAAAAAATATTGTAACGGCAGACTTCAACGGAAGGCCAATGGAAGGGGGTCTTTGTCTCACAGTCATAGTACAGGGGGGTCTTTGTCGCAAAACAAAGTACAGGGGGGTCTTTGTCACAGACCCCATAGTACAGGGGGTGTCTTTGTAATTTACCCTTTTCTTTTTTACATTTTTTTTCAGTTGAGTCGAAGTAGGATAGTGGTAATTCTATAATTTTCTGTTTCTAGTCCTGTTGGGATTTTTATTGTTCTAAAGTCCTTGGAAATGTATTGAAACTTTTAGACATCAGTGAATAATATTTGATTAGAACTTGGTAATTGTTGCCATGGTGAGTGATTCCCATAAGCCCTAAAGTGATTTTAGGTCCCCTATTGAGTGATATTGCATTACTGCCAACTGTTCACAAAACCATATATATTTAATGAAATTTGAATTATTTACCAAAAAAACAATCAATATACATTGGTGAACACCCTCTTAATATTTCAAGCAGAACAATTTAACATGATAAATATTTGATAGAGTAATAGCATGTCAAATTAAACTATTGAGAGTAATGAAAAGGGAAATGAACAAGCGCAGTGTCCTTCACTTTTTTTTCTTTCTTTTTCTCTTCTTTAACCCTTTGATCTTTCATTTTGCTTATTTGGGGCGTTCTACATTGCTCTTTTGGGATACATACAAGAAATATCTCCTTTTAAGCGAAGGTCACTACAGGAAGCTTCTGTCTAGGACTTCTGGTGAAGGAAGAATCTGTTGAGGCTTTAAAATTAGATAAAAATCCAAGTGGATCCTCTTCTCACATGATAAAAATCCAAGTGAATCTGTTGAGGCTTTAAAATTGCACCCTTACACGGTGACCAGGTGGAACGAGTCAACAGTTCAACCATCTGTGTCGGATGAGTTTTGACCAAGTCAAAGGTTTTGGTCAATTTCCAGGTTTTAGAAAAATTGAACCTGGAAAAGGGGTCAAGTGACAGTTCTAATGGTTTGATCATTTGGATCAACGACAGGTTGAAAACATTGGATGGTTGTTGAAAAAGAAAGAAAACCAAGAGTGGATTGATTATACTAAATTATCAAGTATTACAAATTAATCATAATTTGAGATTCTTCAGTCACATATTACAGATGTGACAGAGAGAATAATCCTTCAAAGAGTTGGTGTTCAAGTGTCTGAGATGGGTATGGCCCCAATTTTAAGTGTTTGTGTAGCATAGATTTTTGTGTGGAATCTTAACTGTCAAAGCAATTAAATGAATTGAATGATCCCATTGTTAATTTAAGCAGTTGATATTTTTGTTGTTCAGAGTCATTGTGGACAGGAATCATTTTGCTATCTTTTTGGGTTGGCTTCTTAACTGTTTCTATGCATTGCTACCCATTTTGGAGGGTAAATTCCATTTTTCTTTCATTTGTTTTATATGACTATCGTTTATTCCTAGCTGGAGGTACCATCACATAATTTCCTTAAATGATACTGAATTTTCTCGTCATTCATATCTTGGGTTTTCCTATGCATATAATTTCTAGGTGTGGAGATATATTGTGTTCCTACAGCTGATGCCAGTGATTTATGGAGGTCATCTGCAACTGCCATTGCCCTTGAAGGTGGATGCTTTGTTCTATCTGCAAATCAGTTTTGCCAAAGGAAAGACTATCCCCTTTCAGAGAAATGTATGCCAGGAGATGAAAACAAAGATCTCTCACCAGATTCAATTGTCTGTGCTGGGGGCAGTGTCATTATTTCACCATCTGGGTCTATTTTGGCTGGACCCAATTATCAAGGGGAGTCCCTTATCTCAGCTGATCTAGGTATGTCAAGGTTCCTTTGAAAATCATTTGCAAAATGGATACAATTTAGGGCCGTCCTGGTAAGCATGAGGTCCTATATTGATTATTGCATCTTGGGCTTGTGGGATCTTTGCACTTATTTTGGTGGTGTTTAAGTGACCTAAACTCTTGAATTCTGCATTCTTGTGATTGCTGTTTAGAGCTGGATTGGAAGGGTGTGCCAGATGAGATGCACTATATTGTTTAAATCACACCCCGTCCATATGCACCGTTGTTAGACCATCTACGCTTTCTTCCCATGAGGACCTTTTATCGTTGCAAGTGTAATATTTTGCTTATTTGCCAAAAGAGACACCAAGAACTGATTTATCCTATGTGAATGGTTGCATTTAAATACCTACCAGAAAGAAAAATCTCTTCACAACAATGACATTTATTAATTCTGTTATCTCCTCTTTGATGTGTCCAGATCTTGGAGAAATCACACGAGCAAAGCTTGAATTCAATGGAGTGGGACACGATGGAACATCCAACTCCCCTGACTTAGTAGTGAGTGAACCCAACGCAATTCCATTTGCAGCTGTGGCAAAAAAGGAAGCTACTTATGAATAACAAGGATGCATATTTGGAGCTGCGCGCATGGGAAGGCCAATCTTTGGATCGTTTTAATTGCATTGTCTCATTCTGCATCAAAGAGCCTGCTAGCGTTGTGCCCATCACTTTCCTTGGCAGATCTCTTGAGTCAAATTTTGTTCCCAGATTTTTTATCTATGCCATTGAATTTCTTTTTGTAAATTATGTTGTGTTTTGAAACCTTTGTATAGGTTTCCTTACCTTTCCCTATTTTTCCTTCAAACCAAAAACAGCCTTAACGATTACAAAGTCATTAGAACATGGTGGTGAACTGCACCATATAATCATATATATAGCTTCTTTCCTAATTTGTCAAATTAATATATGAATTTAGCTTTATTCAATTCATTTTTCTTGATAAGGCTTGATCAAAGACAGTCCATTTTTTCCTCCGAGGTCCCTATGGACTCGGGACTGCTAATTTGAATTTCTATACAGTATCAATGGTACCAATACGATACCATCAATTGGCCTTCCGTTGGTTCAATTAGTTTATGTATCTGTTTATATTATCATTATATTTTTTGAGTATAAAGAAATCCTATTATTAACACCAACGCTTAAATTCCCTTTTCTACTGAAAATGCAAATGCAAAGAAAATTACATGTTAGGAATAGGAATCCTTAAAAATAAAGGCCCTTAGACAAATCAACACGTAGACAATTTAACCGGAGGCCTTGTTAATATCAGATGGAGGGGTGGCTGCCTTAAAATTTTGTTAACCATTCTTGAAAGTAAGGGGTGAGCAAATGGATAGGTTCTACCTGGAACCGAATGGAACCAACCTCGAACCAGCCTTGAATTGACCCTACCCAATCTGTTATAAGAATACAGGGTAGGATCTGGTTCCAAATTCTTAGAACCCACCCCACCCTGGTCGGTTCTAGGGTCTAGGGGTTTACCCTAGACCAAATTGACCCAATGAACTAGCCTTATAACCGAACTTGCCTTGAAATAAATCCCAAAATATTTTTAAGGATGTGAAGATTTGAACCTAAACATTTTACCATTGAGTTACTTGAGTGATTGATCATTTGTTTTCATTTTAATATTTGAATCATTGAATGTGTATAATAAATAATTTAGAAGGTAATATTTACAAAATTTAAACTATACTGACATTTTGAACCATATATTAATATATTATGATAATATACATATTAATTTACTCAAATTAATTAATAAAGATAATATAAGTTTTAAACTATATATTGTCATTATTAAAAATCAAGTTTTTAGAAAATATGTTTCTTTTGTTCTTTTTTTTTATTTATAAAGGGAAGAGTAAAGAAAGAACAAGTTCCATGGGTAGGCCCAAGAACCGACTCCGGAACTGTCAAGACCAGAACAGACCCTAAAACCGATCTTCACAAGGTAGATTCTGGTTCTAAAAACCTGGAATCGACCCCTACAGATCCAGGTTCTGTCATGAAACCAAGTGGACCCATGCTCACCCCTAATAAAGGGGGGGGGAGGATTCCACCCTTCCCCAAACTTAACTGAAGTTTTAGTAACTGTTCTGTGAGAGGTTTTTAGGAATAACTGAAGCTTCTCCAAAAATTTCAAATCTTCCTTCATCCACATCCAAGTTTGCCAAAACGGTGTAGGTCGTAGACCAAGGTTGAGTTATCTTATTAGCCAAATGATCAATCATAATATACCCTCCACCTCCACAACGGTGATTCCTCTGTTGAGGTAGTCATATAAAGAATGAAATTCTGTCTGGATTGAGGATGTAACACCATAAAAATTATGAAAAAGAAGCACAAGAGAACCATTACTGATGCTGAATTTGGCTACATCAATTATAATTTCTTAAAGAGTACCTCCACCACTAGCTCAAGGGTTGCACCATCAACATTCAATTTAAAAGAATGGATAGAATATACACCTCCAGCAGGCGTTTCTGTCGACAAAGACACCTTTGGCAAGACGGCTGTCCAGATTATACACCTCGAGTAGTAAGAGTTTCTCTACCATTTTTGTGCTCTTCGTGATAAGGATAATTTCGTCAAGAGGGTTGCAAGATACCTCTAATAGCAGTTGGTTTGCTTTTCTTTAGCATTCCTTATTCTCAATTTGGAAATAATACAAATGCAAATATGTACAGCGCAAATACATATAAAGTATAAGGTTTTGCAGTCTACATATTTGCATTTGTATTCCTTCTAAACTCAGCCTTAGTGATAAAGACTAAGGTTTTTAAAAACGAACCGGACAACAAACCATTCCTGGGTTGAATGGTCTGACCATTCGAACCGAATGGATGGCCCGTTCTGACAAAAAACAAAAAAATAAATTAAAAAAATAAAAAACAGCCAAAAACCATTGTTCGGGTCAACGGTTCAACCGCTCGGGTCAGTGATTCGCTGACCAAATCAATTGTTTTTGGCCAAAACATGGTTCTGGGGTGAAACAGAACCTATTCCCGATTTTCCAATCTGACTGTCCTGTCCAATCCGGTTTTGAAAACATTGATAAAGACACCTCCATTAGGAGGGTTACTTGGGTTGGTACGGATACCTCCAACAATTGGAGTTTTCCTTTTGTATCTTTGTCCGTAAAGACACCTCCAATATAGGGTTTGCCCAGACTGGTAAAGACACTTTTAGTTAGGGTGATCGTCAAAAACCGAAAAGCTGAGGTGTTGTTTGGTAAACCTTTTTTGAAAGATCTTCCGGAAGATCTGACTGCTAGAAGACATTGTGGGCTTTTACATAAAGATCTTGGTAGCCCAAGATGTGACACTTGACCCAGCATGAGTGGGTTACATTTACATACATAGCAGTGCATCAAGTGCTTGTGGGTCCCACCTACAATTACCATGAGTGGACCCCACATACACTTGTCATTAATGTGCCCTAATTATGAATAACCATACGAGTCCCACATGGTTTTTCCATGAGTGGGGCCCACACATCATTTTTGTGGGGTCCACATGTCAAATTTGTGGGGCCCACATGTAGAAACTCATTTTTCTACACACTTTAATTGTATAATAACCCCAATATAACATTGTATACCTAGATGTAACTACAAAAACATGTCCACAATAAGCAAGTTAAAGCGAGTGTCCCTACAAATCATTTCCAAGCTAAGAAAATAATTAGAACCATCATTAAAATGATGAAATACATAATGCCATAACAACATGCACAGGCTGCAAGTGCAGCAGGATGCTCTCTCTTATAATCCACATTGTCATGAGCAATATTATGTTGTTCAATGATGCATACTTCAGGTTCTCCGGGGTATAATTATCTGCCCATATGAAATTGTATTCATGTGGCTGAAATGGAAGAAAATGAGTGCCATTATTATTCCTTTTTTGACAAGCACAATTTCTCACAAATAAGATTCTTTGTGTATTGGTTCTATACCTCACTAGTTGGACATTTATAAAATCATCATCCATAAATTTTCTTTTTTAATTTTTTTCCACAAATAACCTCATACGTTCTCATCTGCATACACACATGGGTCCCCTTCGAATGGTGGCCATAACTATACAATGAATCATTAATCATCATACCATAACTAATCAATTAATTCCTACTAAGCTAACATTAAAAAGATACAAGTTCATAAAATTCAGTACATTATATGTTACAATTAAAACATAAACACATCAAAATGTTCAAGAATCTAATAAAAAAACACAACTAGGTAGATTGCCTCCTATTGTTTCTTGGTCGGGTATGATTAAAATGTAAGTTGTAGTAATCAGCCATCTTGAACATGATTTCATCCCAGACTTGTTCCATTTATCTAGATGCCTATGAAACTGTGCAGAACACAAGCAAACACAATCCTAATTTGTTTGTGAATTGGGTATGGAGGCATCAACTTTAGTATCGGGAATCGTGCCTTCAAAACACCAAAATAATGCTCTATGACAATCCTCAATGAAAAATGCACATAATTAAAGTACTCATCGACATTCTTTGGACGGCCACCTCTTCCTTGAAAGTCTCTTAAATGGTACCTCTCCGATCGGTATGGAGATAGAAAACCAGACATATTTGTGTACCTCGAGTTAACAACATAATACTTTCTTACACAACATTGCAATCATATTTATTAGTGTATTGAAGATATAAACCTTATGGAATTATATGATAGTTTTGCTAACTTTTTGGTGGTAGAGGGAACATATTATTAGGGTTTTGGACTGTCTCAATGAAAACCCTTGAATCATGTGTAGCACCCTTCTATCTTGCTTCAACAAAAGTGAAAAACATGTCAAATGAATATGCACACATCACATTCTGTGCGGTGGTTAAGTTTCATCCTCTAAATGGTACTTTCTCACTAACTAGAACATAGGCATGGACATGTGTACCATCTATAGCACTAACACAATTACGCATGGAGAAAAAAAATTCAAATGAAGAATTTTTTTGATGGTATATTGAGTAAGAAAACACCCCACACATAGAATGAGTTATCTTAAACCATGGATAATATTTCGGATTATTGAAAATATGTTGTTGAGCAATTCTTAAGTCACCGGGTTGTGCAATTTCTTTGCCAAATTCACAAATGACCTTCAAAGCAGTGTTAAAGTGTTGTGAAATTGTTTCACTAGAATGTTGAAAGCGGTCTATAGTATCTTGGTTTGATTTATTTTGTCGTATGATCTGTAAAATAATTCCAATATATTCATTGGCTAATACATATCGACTATCTTTCATTAGCCCTCGTTGTCTCAATGTACTAAGCTAACAAACACTAGTGGTGTCATTCAAAACATATCCAAACATCTACTACCACCACCACTGTAGACAACATTCTTTAGATATTCTACTCCAGTCAGTATGTCATCATGGTAGGGTGTCCTAGAGAGAAACATCTCTTCTTCTCTCTCTAGTTCCTTCGCAATGAGGACATTTGCCATCATTTGTTGCTCTTCATCATTTATGGCAACAACCAATACTGTTTGCAACACTACCATCCTAGTTGGGTTGTCTACCATTTTAATCTGGCATATTAATCATGAATAAGTATAAGCTAATTAATGAGATAAAAAAGGTTGGACTCTGGAGTCATAGAACTTGTTTTAGGTTGATCCTAAGCCAACATTAATATCCATATGGTGACAATTAAACAAACAAAACATATGTTTCTTGGAAGCTAAACTTGAAAAACCATACATCTAATTGTTTTAGAAATAAAGAAAGAAAACACACACACACATAGCTATCAACCTATATGTGCAATCATCAACCTGTTTCAAGTTGATCCTAAGCCTACAATAATATCCACATGGTGACAATCAAACAAACATGACGTGTTTCTTGGCAGCTGAACTTGTAAAACCATCCATCTGATGGTTTTAGAAATAAAGAAAGAAAAAGAAACCACACACATAGCTATCAACCTATATGCTTCAAGAATATGGGTGAACCTGCAAGACCATCCATCTCATGGTTTTAGAAATAAAGAAAGAAAAAAAATCACACATAGTTATCAACCTATATATGCAGTCATCAACCTGTTTCAAGCAAGGATCAAAGTATTGTTATCGGGTATCATATCAGACAAGTCAGATACGGATACTTTTAATTTGGAAATGCATGGATACGAACAAAAGATATAAAAATGCTTAGATATACTAGGGAAATGCATACAAATCACATAAATACATTAATAATGCTAAATCAAAAGCTGAATTCTTTATGAATAAGGTATAAACACATGAAAATGCATACTTCAATAGGTTACATGAAGAGAAACATTACAATAAATAATACTGAAAAACATCATACAATAATTATCACTCTTTCAATTTTTATAATTATAATTTTTAATTTTTATTAATTGTAAAATAAAACATATAAATCATTTAAGGTAGATAAAATAAATTATTTCTAATTTTCAGTTTTTATTAATTTTTTGGGGAAATTAAATCTTAAATTATTCATTTCAGTTTTTATAATTATAACTTTATAATTTTGCATTAATTTTGTTGGGAAATTTTATTTATTTAGTATTTTTATTAATAACTCTATTTTTACAAATAATAACTATAATTTCATTTTTAACATATAATTATGTGTAAAATAAAATATATAAATCATCTAAGGTAGATGAAATATATTATTTTTATAATTTTTTGTTTTTATTATTTTTTTGAAAAATTTAAATATTACATTGTTTTTTCAGTTTTTATAATTATTTTTTAAATTTTTATTAAAGATGAAAAACAATACAAAAGTAGTCAATATGCTATTTTGTCAAACTAGGCATGGATACGCCTCCATAGGTCCGTATTGGTGAGTGTCAGACCGTATCCACCAATACAACACGATACAACCCAATACGGAGGCATATCGTGCCGATACGCACGACTCATAGGATACGTATCTAATCGTGGCGTATCCCGTATCCATGACCATGGATATGGATACGATACACCCCATATCGGGAGTATCGTATCGATACCTTAATCCTTGGTTTCAAGTATATGGATGAACCTGCAAAACCATCCATTTGATGGTTTTAGAAATAAAGAAGAAACACACACACACACACTCATGGTTATCACTCCATCCAATCATTATCAATCTGTTTCAAGTATATAGATCAACACACAATACCATCCATCTAATGGTTTTAGAAAGAAATAATGAAGAAACCACATGCAAACACATGTCTATCAATCCATCCAACCATCATCAATCTGTTTCAAGTATATAGATCAACCTGTAATACCATCCTATTGATGGTTTTAGAACGAAAAAAATCACACACACACATGTCTATCAATCCATCCAACCATCATCAATCTGTTTCAAATATAGTTTAACCTGCAATATCATCCATCCAATTGCATTCAACATATCACAATTAAATCCAGATAATAGTTTAACCATTAACAACTAACTAAAAGTTAAACAAGTCAAATGTGTTTTTAAGTTCATCAAATGGAATAAATCCATAGTGTAGTTCAATGGTTAAGGTCACAAATCACCCAATTCTTCCTAAGGTTTGGAGTAGGCATGTTCAGAAACCACTCTCTTGCATCTGGCTTCTCAAAAACTTCATATAGTTTCACATAATCATTATGGTCAAGCCTATCAATGGAGTTTAGACTTGCCAACACACGTCATGGATGCTTGACTCTCTGGCTTCCTACTCAAGCCATTTATTGCCTCCACCAGCCTATCAAACCTCTTATCAACTGATATAGTTTGCTCAACAATTTCCTCGGAGAATTCTAAAGGTCTCTTCCTATGTGAATTTTGCTTAGAGGTTGTAGATGAAACCTAGTCAATATCAACATTGCCTGAATGATCAATGCTTGTTAATGGTTGTTGGATCTCATCAATATGTGGGTCAGATGAGATATTTCCCTCATCTTAGGATGGAGACTCTATGCCATGTGCCAATGATGTTGAAAACCTTCCAGTAGGTGTAGTTCCCCCAAATATGATCTCTAGGTTGTTATATTCTGGACAACCCACATTGTGAAACTTTTTCGCCTTGGGGTTAGCCTAAAAGAAGATAAGGGGACACCAATCAATTTATTTGTAGATATGTATATTTACATGTACATGTAAAGTCCCAAATAGAAATCTAAAACAAAAATACAAAATTTAGAAAATACCTATAAATAGTTATCCCATGCCTCTGGCGAGGCTACAACCATCTGCTTATCTTCATGCCAACCAATTCTGATTTGTCCAAACTTCAATTTTTTAATTTCTTAAACCTATTCTTTAGATCCTATATCTTGTTACTAAATGATTTGGCATTGAACTTTAGCACAATTTGTGTGCAAAAACTTTTCTTGACCTCTTTCTAAGCAGATGGTTTCAAACAACCTGCCACCCCCCCACTCTGGACTTGTTGTACAAGTAAATCTATGAAAACATTTTCTTGCATAGGTGTCTAGTTTGCATTTATAGTGGGTGCATCATCAAATGATGTAGTATTGGCTACACTAGTCACCATGTAGTCATCATCAAATAAACTGGTTACTAATATATAGTGTTTAAACTTCTAAGCACTTCCAAGAAATCCTTGAAACACGCATGTTATTCACATTCAACCACATTGACAATCAACTAATCCAAATACGAGGTTATGCTAGTGGTATGAGTCACCTGTAGTAACTATTCCTCTCAAAAGTATGCAAGTGGGTATAATATATGAAACTTCCAAGCAATAAGAAGGGAATTTTGATAGTCTCAGCAAATTGCTAGTACAGCCCACATTCAACCAATCTGTATTCTATTTACACTTGCATGATGTTCATTGAGTAGCAAATGATACAATCCATACACT